TCTGCTTCTTTGAATTCCTGGTAATTTCAATAGGATACTAAATACTAATAATTTTATTCTCTTGGTTGCTAGATTTTGTCCTATCCTTAAACTGTATTATATTTTGTTCTGAAGAATATCAAGCTACTTAGAATCGACTGAATCATTCCAAGGCTTGCTTTCAATTTTTAATAGGGCAGATTATGAAGATAATGAGAAGACAACCCACAGACCAGGAGAAAATACTTGCAAAAGACATATCTGATAAAGGACTGTTATCCAAAATATACAAAGAACTTTCAAAAATCAAGAAGAAAATGAATGACCCAATTTAAAAAATGGGCTGAAGATCTGAACATACACTTGCTGGAAAAAGATATACAGATGGCAAATAACCATATGAAAAAATGCTCAACATTATATGTCATTAGATAATTGTACATTAAAAAAAAACAACAGTAACTATTAGAATGGCAAAAATCCAAATCACTAACAACACATATGCAGGTGAGGATAAGAAGCAACAGTAACTCTTATTCTTTGCTGATGGGAATGCAAAACAGTACAGAGATTTAAAAAGATAATTTCTTACAAAACTAAAGATACCTTATGATCTAGCACTCACATGCACTAGTATTTATCCAAATATGTTGAAACTTATGTTGACACAAAAAGCTGCACAAGAACGTAAAGGACCCTTTTAAATAATTGCCAAAAGAAGCAATAGGTAAATTGATAAGTAAACTATAGTACATCCAGAAAATGGAATATTGTTCAAGGCTAAAAAGAAATAAGCTATCAAGTCAAGAAAAAACACAGAGGAATCTGAAATGCACATTACTGAGAAAGAAGACAACCTGAAAAGGCTATCATCCTATCTAATAAAAGAGTAATATGTAAATTAACCATCACTCCACGACAAAGATGGCAGCGCCCATAGTGACCAGGGCAGGACGCTGGCGGTGTCATCCTGGCAACGCAAGCCCAGCGTCCGCGCCCCAGCTGCGCGGAGGGAAGGGAGGGGCCTCAGGCCGGAGGCTGGGGCAAGGGATGCAAGCGTCGTTGCAGGCCGGGCTAAGGGATGACTACCCCCCGCTCCCCGTGCACGAATTTCGTGCACTGGGACTCTAGTATACTGTATAATTCCAATTACATGACATTCTGGAAAAGAAAAAACTATAAAGACAGTGAAAAGATAAGTGGTTGTCAGGGCCTAGGAAGAAAGGAGGGATCAATAAATAAAGCACAGTGAGTATTCTGTATGATAAGATAATGGTAGGTATATGTCATTATATATTTGTTAAAACCCATAGAATATATACCACCAAGAGTGAACCCTAATGTAAACTATGCACTTTGTGATAATGACATGTCAGTATACCACTCTGGTGAGAGATGTTGATGGCAGGAGAGATGGTGCATGTGTACATCAGGGAGATATAGGAACTCGCTGCATTTTCCCCTCAATATTACGTTTTACTCTAAAACGTAAAGTCTATTTTTTAAAAAAATCTTTTCATTAGAGAAAATTAGTACAACCATTAGTGTAAAGAAGTCAACAAATAACAGCCCAGAGGCCAAATCCAACCTATGGCATATTTTTGTATGGCTCTCTAGCTAAGAATGCCTTTTATATTTTTATAAAGATGTGTTAACAAATAGAACATTTGACCATATATAGCCTGCAAAGCCTAAAATATTTATTATCTGGCCCTGAGGTAGATTAGATTAGCCCAGCTACTAAAGTAATAAAAACTTTCTGAGGATTCTGTCTGAGGTCCCCATATATTTTGAGGTTGTTTTTTTGTACTAGGGCTTGTGATGGATTCAAATTGTTTCAGGCCCTTTGTGAGCTCCAGAAATTGTTCTGGAGCTAATCCTTTCAAGTAGCCTTTCCCTAGTCTCAGGCACTTTCCTCTCATTCATGTGCAAATTGCTAGGCAGCCAAAAGCTTAACAGGATCTTCTATGTATCATATAGAGCTCTCGTCTATCTGAGGTTCTCTCCTCTCTGGTAAGCTGTCCCACAAATTCTAGCACCTTGGCCTCCTACAACTTTCATTTCTGGTTTACCTACTCAGTGACCCAACAGATTATTTTGGGGTTCTCCTACCCAATGCCTGAAAACTGCCTCTAGGCAGTAAGCTCTGGAACTGGAGAGCTCACCACTTTGTTTTCTTTCCTTCAGGAATCACAATCCTGTGCTACTTTTCCCCACTATCTATCTAAAAAACCATTGCTTCATACATTTAATCAGGTTTTCTAGTTTATTAATGAAGGAAAGTAAATATAGTCTCTGTTATACTATCTGGGCTAGTAGAAAATTCCATTTATTTTGATTTTTTTTTGTTTGGGGAACATTATTTTCTATCAGATTATGTTAATATGTAATGGATTTGTTATTTTTAAATGAGTTAATAATTTTGAAATTTCTTGGTTTTAATTTTCCTTTGATCCATGTGTTATTTGGAAGTGTGTTGCTTAGTTTCCAGATATTTGGCAGTTTTCCAGAAGGCTCTGTTACTGATTTCCAATTTAATTCTATTGTGGTCACGTTATAGTCGGCAGTTTGCTAGACATTAACAAAAAGGAAGGGCGCAAACGGAACCAGACATCTGATTAAGCCGGATTAACTAGAAAAGGATAGTTTCAGTCACTCTAGGCAGATACTTTTCGGTCACCCCAGGAGCAACCTGCACCATTTCACCTTAATGAGCAGGGAGGTAAAAAGAAGGGGATCAGGGGAATCCTTTCACTGAGTGCATGAACATTAGAAGCCAAAATGGCAACCATAAAGGGGCGGGGGGGGGGGGCGGGGGGGGGGGGGACTAGCCTGAGGAAGTCTGGGGGAAAGATCTAATAGGATAAGGCCACAAAACCCCAGAGGATCCAGAATGAGATTGGACAGGGGAGGGCATTGACACTGCCTGGGAAAAAGTCAGGAGAGAGATTGAAGACTGAATAGTTAAAAAGGAAGCCTGCTCTTTTCTGAACTCAAGGAAATATATAGAAGCTAGACAAAAACCCAGCGCCCTCGTCGGAGCACGCCCATGCCCTTCTTTCAGGCATGTACTTTTTGTCTTCTTTTCTCCTAAACTCTAAGGATCCCCACCAGACTTGCCACCAGGGGAGCAGCAAGCAGTGGCAGAGGACTCTCCTTTTGCCTCTGTCCACAAGGCCACTACTATAGCCAACCGACTCTCTGCTTCTCCAAGGGTGTACGACCTCGCTCACTCTAATAAATCTTGCCACTTAAATTCCTCCTATGTGCCTGTCCTAAAATTCTTTTCCTGAAACACCTCAGAAGAATCCTATTTCCAGACCATGCCAGGGCAGACCCACCGGGTCCAGGTCCTTCTTTAGTAACAGTCAGAAAAGTATACTTTGTATGCTGAACGAATACACAAGGTGAACCTTCTGCAGATTCCTAGGGTGCTCCCTCCACCTCTCCCCTTTCTCTTCTCTCTCTTCTATCTCCCTCTCCCTTCCTCCCTCTTTAAAATCAAATTTTTTTAAAAAAACACGACATGCATGTAAAACATTAATTAAAATGTTTAAAAGAAATCAACAGTATATTGAAAGCTAAATCAAAATGTATGACTACATAGTAAGAACTTAAGCTTTAGAAGAGCCTGAAAGTTTTGTGGGGTTTTTTTTGGTGTTTTTTTAAAGTATATTTTGAGGTATTTTAGGGCTAAACCAATTAGTTTAACATGACCTATTTAGTAAAGTAAAGCTTTTTTTAGATATTTAATAGTGGGCAATAGATATTTGTATATTGTCTTACCTGCATCTAATCCACTTCTTTCTTAGTGAGGCATATTTGTTAGATACCACTCTTTTAGTGATTTAAATTACTTTTTTTTCATGCAAATTTTCTGTTTTCCTTATCGTTACAGGCCTTAATTTTGCCAAATCAGTGACCATTTGGTTGTCTACCTCCTGTCTCAAGAAAAATCACTTTGGCTTCCCAAAAGTTGGTTTAAAAAAAAATCACACCATACTTATCTTTCTAGCAACAGAGACATGACTTTTGTTGTTCAGCACAAGCCATCACATCTACATCTAGTGCCTGTGTACTTCTGCATCCTCCCTCCCCAAATAGACCACTGCTGAATCTGCCCCTTCAAAACAAAAGAACTGAAAAAAGAAGACAAAATTCTCTTAGCACAACCAAAACATTGTATGTGTGGTATACTCACTCAACAAATATTTATTAACTATCTACTGTTTGCCAAGCACTTAAATTTAAATTTAAGCTAAAAACAAACCAATTAAACAAAGGATAACAGCTAGCTAACTGACAAAACAGTAATGAGCTAGCCCTAGGAAAGATATATACAAGGCCATTTAAGAAAAAGGAAGTGATAAAGTTAGGAAGTTAATACCTAATAAAATTAAAACTCTCTTTGGCACAAATGTGCAAGCTATTAGTGCTGAAATTCTTTACAGTATTGTCATTGAATGGCTTGAGGACAGGAAAGTCAGAAATGTTTCCATTTTAACCCCATTTTCTTCTCACAAAGATGCTTTGAGAGCAACTAATTAATATTTGCAAAGTGCTTAGTGATAAGCTCAAAGTAGAATGCTAGTCACAAATCAAAAAGCAAGCGCACTGACTTATAAAAAAGGTCCCTGTCTGAATAAGCACAACTAAATTCAGTCTCTTAAGTAATATTAACAAGGTAAGTGTATAACAAACATTAATGTAAAAAATTTATTTTAGCCCTGACCAGTTTGGCTCAGTGGATAGAGCGTCGGCCTGCGGACTCAAGGGCCCCAGGTTCGATTCCGGTCAAGGGCATGTACCTTGGTTGCGGGCACATCCCCAGTAGGGGCTGTGCAGGAGGCAGCTGATCAATGTTTCTCTCTCATCAATATTTCTAACTCTCTATCCCTCTCCCTTCCTCTCTGTAAAAAAAAATCAATAAAATATATTAAAAAAAAATTTATTTTAAAACTTTAAGATAAAAAACTGCAACCCAGATTCTTTGCAAATAAAGAAAACCTCCTACAACTTACGGTATTTACTGTGGATTTCATCTATTTCCTTTTCTGTTTGGTCCTTCGTAAAAACCATTATCTAAAATAATAAAAAAAAATCTTAATTAAAAATTCATTAAATGACAAAAATAGAAATCAGTACTATAAACTTTAAAATCTCAAATGTGGATGTTTAAATAGAGTAAAATAATTGCTCATTTTTGCTTCAAATAGACCTAGGATAAGTAACTCCTGCATATTTCCCTTGAATATCATAATTAACATATATTTTACTCATTACTTATTTCTCATCAGTAGAAAATGCAACATGAATGCCATCAGAAGACATAAAGTATTAATACAACAATCAATTAACTTTCCTATTTTAAATAGTTAACTTTTTCACACTCATTAATACAACAAACTACAAAACACTTTACAAGACTGGAGACATTTAGCAGATCATTCATAAGGCAGATTTTCTTGTCTGCCTTCTATGTTTTCCAGCCTAACTTCTCCAAATCTATAATAATGTAATATACAGGGAAAATACAAGAAATGTTACATTTATAGTTCCGCTTTTTCACATATGAGACTTAAAAAATCAAGTGTACTTATATGACTTACTACCGTCTCCATCTTACAGTTAGCACTCAGGTAGTAATAAAGTTAATGCAAATCTCATTGTTTCCTACTACTGATTATAAGCTCACTCCCCCCTACAAACACATTATCGATGGTCTAGGGAAAAAAGTCTACTTGGGAGAGCCCAAACCACTGCCTTATAGTGTCTAGGACACATGACTATTTTCTTCCTTGACATCCTTTCTTCAAGTTTTGGGCCATCACACTAGAGGAAGGAAATAGTGAACCATTTTAAGTTTTTGATTCCCTCAATAAGCTCAATAGATATTCTATAAACTCCTACAATTACTTAATTTCTCAATCAGGACCATCATGGAATGGCAGAATGCCAGAGCTAAAAGGGGATCTTAGAGATCATAGAATTCAATCCCAAAATTTTACAGATGAAGATGGTAAGGGAAGCAGAGGTTAAATAGCTTATCAAATACAATGAGCAGAGAAAGGGCTGATATGTAGGCATATGCTTTTTCTAAAGACTATTAACCATTAATAAACTCTAGATTGCATTCTGTACTAGAAGACTGCCAATTATGACAGAATTTTGTGCTAAAATATGAGCTGCAGGTAAATCATAATATTTTAAGTAAAAATGTGTTCTAGTACATTCTGGCTTGCTTTAATTTTAGTAGAGTATTCAACTTTCCTTTATTTCTACCCAGATGCTGAAATAGACCATAACATACTCTTTCATTGAGTTTACTAGCTTCAAGACGCATCCTAGTCTTCTCCATATTTTCAAGTTCTTGAACTATTTCAGCAGCTGTTAAAATAAACACATATAATCAATGTTAATTAGGTCTCTCCCTACTCCCCTCCCTCTTTCTTTCCCTCTCCCTCCTTTTCATTCTCTCTAAATATCTATGAAAAAAATATCCTCAGGTGAGCATTAACAACAAAGTAATAACAATAAGCCAATAGTAAAAATAAGATGTAATAAAAATACTCAATCCAAAAGACAGCAAAAAAGGGTAAAAGAAACAAAAAGTATATAAAACAAACAAAATAATTGGCAATATGATAAGGTTAAAACCAACTGTATCATAATTACATTAAATGTAAATGTCCTAAAAGCACCAATAAGAGACAGAGAATGAAGATTAGATAAAAAAGAAAGGCCACACTATATGCTTTCAACAGAGAACCCATCCTATATAATAAAAGCCTAATATGCAAATTGATCAAACAGCAGAATGACGGGTCAGCAGGGGGCGGAGCCAGTGAGTGGGCGGCGATAGGCCAGCCAAGGTGGATGCCAGCAGGCAGAGGGAGGGGACAGTGATCAGGGGGCAGCAGCGACCAGCAGTGGCAGAGGGGCGATCGGGGAGGCGGGGCCAGCCACTTGCTGGACGGCACCATCTCCCGATTGGTCTGCTGGTCACCTCCTGCAGAGGGAGGCCAGACTGTGACTTATGGGGAGCAGGCATAAGCCGTCAGTTGGACATCCCCCAAGGGCTCCCGGACTGCAAGAGGGTGCAGGCTGGGACCCCCCACCTGCCAAGTACATGAATTTCTGTGCACCTGGCCTCTAGTTTTAAATAAAAGGCATCAATAAGTCAAAATAAAGTATGGAAAGAGATATATCATATAAATACAGATTTTAAAAAACTTGAAATAGCTAGATTAACATGAAGCACAAGAGACTTCAGAACAATGCATGTTAACAGGAATAAAGAGGGAAATTATAGGAAGGAGTCAATTCACCAGACATAATCTCCAATGTGTTTGCACCTGAAAGAGAAATTTAAAATATATAAACAAGAACTGGATTTAAACTAGACTCACCGCCTTCTCATTTCTCATATTCTCCCCCATTAAGTATAACCAAATATAACACAGTAAGAGAACTCTGAAAAGTGGAAGGAGGAAAATTAACTAAGGATCTAATAATTTGAGGAACAACACCACTATGGGGTCTCTGATTGTTCTTTTATCTTCTATATATCTGAGACTATTCTTTGGTGAAGCATGCAACCCAGAACCACCAACAGGCACAAGGGTGGGAAAAGCCCCAAGAAAAACCTGGAGAAAAGCATTCTTTAAACCTGCACAGGAAGTCCTGGACACAGCCCTGACTAAAAGTCTAGAATATGGCAAAAGGTCTGAGAACTGAACCACAGTATGGAACACCAGGTTTCAGAGTGGCCTCCAGGTAGCAATGACAGGATATAGACCAGAATAATACTACATGAGCTCTGGAAACTAAATTGTCATTAGAACCACAGCCCACAAAAGTAGGCCAGGATCTGTGTGCTAACTAAAAACAGGGTGACTGACTGATATGGCAGAATATTTAAATAGGTTCTAGAATCTCATAACATTATACTCAAAGTGTCCAGGATTAAACAGAAACATCTGTCATAGTAAGAAGCAGGAAAATCACAACTTAAATGAATAAAGACAATCAACAGATACCAACACTAAAGATGACTTAGATGTTGGAATTATCTGACAAGAATTTTAAAGTTACCAGCATAAAAATGCTTCAAGGAGCAACTAGGAACACTCTTGAAACAAAAGCTGACAAAACTACTATTATATATAATACTTTTATGACAGACATAGGTCCATTATAAAAATACATCTTTTAAAAGTTACATTTAAGTTATTAATTTCTTGTACTGAAAAGGGGGTTACTAAATAGCAACAACAAAAATTGTAAACAAAGTAAAATAAATGAATCCCACTATATTTCAAATAAGTAATATAACTATAATGAAGGGAGACAAAAAGGAACTTAGCAACACAGTATCTGACTATATAGCCTCAGCCCAGGCCAGGGAGGAGGGAAGAGGGAAGGCTGGGTAGAGAGGAATAAAAAAATTTATTAAAATAAAAAATCTGGAATTCTTTCATATAGGTAAATCTGATGTATAAATATATTCCTGAGTTCCATATGTTGAAAGCACCTGGAAGCAAAGGCAACATATCCTGGTTTGCAAAAAAATAAGAAGTAAAGGTCCTCAGGGAAATGGCTGATACTATACACACACACACACACACACACACACACACACACAAGAGTAGGCCTTCCTTCCTCCAGCTGCCGACACCAGCTTCCCTCTGGCACCCGAGACCAGGATTTCCCTCACAGCCTTGGATTCGTCCAGAAGGTCGTTCGGAAGGATGTCTGGTCTAATTAGCATATTTTGATTTAATATATATATAATAATATATAAGCATATATATATAAAATAAAGAAGCTCCCACTAGCCAAATCTGGAAAAACATAAAACCAATATAAGGGTGACCATAAGTTATAAAAATGTGAATCTACACTGATTACAGGCTAAGAAAAAAAAAAAAAAAAACAAGAGGGCTCTTATTTTCAGAGTCATGGCAAGTGGCAACTGGCAAATATGAAAGGAGTGCTGACGTTAGAAAATGGTCATTTTGCAACTATCAGAGAAGTTAAAATTACCAATGAATGCTAAATACCGGGGTAATATTTTAATGATATATAGAATATTTTTATGGTATTAAAATATTATTATACAGACTTCTTATTAGTATCAAGGGGGAGACTATACAATGGAGAAATTGACAAGGTGATCAAACCTGCAATCACATTGAGGGGCACAAAGATGTTGAATATCTCTAGCTGTTACTGATGTTCTGAAAAGGACAGAACATTACTTATATTGTGTTCACAGAGTATTGAAACCAATCAAATACAGGAAGGAGTAGTCAGCAGTTCATCAACATTCAGGAATGTACAACCTGAATGTTATTATAAGAAAACTAGAGGCTCGGTGCACAAAAATTCGTGCATGGGGGGAGGGGGGGAACCCTCAGCCCGGCCTGCCCCCTCTCACAGTCTGGGAGCCCTCAGGGGATGTCCTACTGACAGTGGGCCTAAGCTACAGTCTGGCCTCCCTTTGTGGGAGGTGACTGGGCCAATCATGGGAAGGCTTTGCCCCCCATCATCCCGCTGCTGCTGCCACTGCCGGCCGCTGCCACTGCCAGCTGCTGCGGCTGCCGGCCCTGGGCCCTCGCTTCTTAGCACTGGCCCTGCCCCCTGCCCACTGGTGGGTGGGGAGCAATCTGGGGCCAGGCCGGCTGGGGGAGGGGCTGTAAGAGGTTGAGGCACAACAGTCCCACCCCGTCCAGCCTCTGCGGAGGCACAGCGCTGGGACCAGGCCCACGTTGCTGCCTCTGTGGAAGGGGCAGCACTGAGACCCCGACTGTGCAGCCCCCTCTCCTGCTGCCTCTGCAGAAGGGGCCCAGGCACTGGACCGGCCTACGCAGTGGCCTCTTGTGCGCCACCTCTGTGAAAGGGGCAGCGCCACCGGCTCCACTCCCACTCCCACAGCAGCGTCGCCTCCTCTTCTTAGCTGCTGTGGCTTTGTCCAAATGGATGTCCAGAAGACGTCTGGTCTAATTAGCATATTACCCTTTTATTAGTATAGATATTAGACAAAGTCAAAATGAGAAACAGCTTATTTGAGGGAGAAAAACAAAACACAAAGACTATATTCTTTTACTAGTAAAATGCCAATGTCATAAAAAGACAAAGAAAGGCTGTTCCAAATTGAAAAAGATTGAAAAGATATTATAACTGAATGCAGGATGTGATCCAAAACTGGATCATGCACTGGAGGGGAAGAAAATCTACAAAGGCCATTTTTGGGTCCATTGCTGAAACCAGAATAGAGATAATAAAGTACTGTAACGAAGTTGAATTTACTGAGATTGATAACTATATAAGAGAGAATATCCTTTTTCTTAGGAAATACACAATAAATATTTAGGGATTAAAAAGTCAAGATGAGCCCTAGGCGGTGTATCCCAGTCAGTGGTTAGAGCATCCGCCGGAGCACCAAAGGGTCTTAGGTTGCATTCATAGTCAAGGCACGAATCTGGGTTACAGGTTCAATACCAGGCCTGGTTGGGGCACATGCAGGAGGCAACCAATCAATCAATGTTTCTCTCTCTCTCCACTTCCCGTCTCTTCTTCCCTCCCTTCCGCTCTCTCTAAAACTCAATGGAAGAAATATCCTCAAGTAAGGATTAACTACAACAACAAAAGAGTTAAGATTATACAACGTACTCTCAGACTACAAAAACACACATATGTGGCCCAGCTGGCGTGCTCAGTGGTTGAGCGTTGACCTATGAACCAGAAGGTCACAGTTCAATTCAATGAAATACAAGAAGGAAAAAAGTGGAATTCAATGAAATACAAAACAAACAAAAAATGAGAAAAAAAATAAATGAAATTGAAAGTTGGTTCTTTGAAAAGATCAATGAAATTGTTAACCTGTAAGTAATCCAATCAAGAAAAAATAAAAGGGAAGACACATTTCTAATATCAAAAATGAAAGACAGGACATTACATAAACATTACAAGGCTAATGAAGAAATATTATATTTTTTAAAGTTGGTAAATTATAAATTCATCAACTTAGATAAAATGGATAAATTACTTGCTAAAGATAAATGGTATGTCTAATATTAAAAAATCAATGTAATGCAAATCAAAACCATAATGGCATACCATTTTACACCCACTAGGATGGCTACAATAGAAAAGACAGAATAACAAGTGGTAGCAACTATAAAGAAACTGGAACCCTCACCCACTACTAGTGGGATGTAAAAAGTTGTGGCCACACTGGAAAACAGACTGGCAATTCCTCAAAATGTTCAGAGAGTTACCAGTTGACCCAGCAATTTCACTCCTAGGTACATATTCAAGAGAAATATAAACATATGTCCACATAAAAGCATGTACAAGAATGTTCACAGCAGGATTAGTCATAACAGCCAAAAGGTGGAAAAATCCCAAATGTCAATTGATGAATGGGCAAAATATGTGGCATATCCATACAATGAAATATTATTCAGCAATAAAAAAAAAATGAGGTACTGACCATGGAAAAATCTTGAAAATATGTTAAGTGAAAGAAGTCAGTCACAGAAAAGCCAACTATTTTATGATTTCATTTAAATGAAATGAACTTCCAGTTTCCAGCTCTGCTTGTAAAAAGCCTAGAAGTTGCCACTCAGTCCTAAAAACAAGTTAAAGGCTGAAAAGAGCTAATGGACCTCTCACAGAAGATAAAATGATGTAGCCATTAAAAACAGGCTGGCAATTTCTTATATATTTAAGTATATATAACCCACATGACGCAGCAATTCTACTCCTGGGTATTTATCACAGAGAAATGCAAAAATCTGTAAGACCATGTTCATGACAGCTTTACTCATAACAGCCAAAAATTGGAGACAGACTAGGCATCTATTAATATGCAATACAGCCATACAATAAATGCAACACCGGGGACAAACCTCAAAAGCACTTTGCTGAGTTAAAGAAGCCAGATACAAAAACGATATGCTGTACCATTTGTATTAATGCCATTTATCTGGCATTTTAGAAAAGGCAAAACTTCAGGAACATAAAAGAATCAGTATTTCCCAGGATCTAGGGTAAGGGAGAGGAAATTTACTGCAAAGAGGCAGAAGAACTTTTGGGGGTGCATAATTTTAACTGAAGTGATGGCTAAATGACTATATATACATTTGTCAAAATTTATTGAACTATACACTTTAAAATGATTAATTACATAAGCAAATTATACCTCAATTTCTAAAATACACACATAATGTCCTGGCCAGGTGCCTCGGTTGGTTGGAGATAAACTAAATTCATGAATTGGAAGATACTGTAAAGCTATCAACTTTCCCCAAAGTGATCTATAGACCCAATGTAATCCCAACCCAAGCAGGTTTTTTCTTGATGGAAATTTGCAGGCTTCTTCTAAAATTTATATGAAAATGCAAAGGGCCTAAAAAAACTGAGACAATCTCAATAAACAGCAAAGCTGGAGGAAGTACATTACCAGACAGTAAGATCTATTATAAATTAAAATTAAGACAGTACACTGCTGATAAATAAATGACTCAATAAACAATGTCAAGACACACATATAGTTAGCTGATTATCAACAAAGACATACTGACAATTCACTGGGTTAAGAATGGTTTTTCAATAAATGATGCTGTGTCAAATGGCTATCTATATGGAAAAAACACACACAAAAGAATCTTGCTCCGTAATTAACAACATATGTAAAATCATTTCAGATAAACTGTAGGTCAAAATGTAAAAGCAGTAACAATAAAACTTTTAGAAGAAAACAAGAGAAGATCCTCATGATCTTATGGTAGGCAAGGATATAAAAAGCATACACCAAAAAGAAAAAATGCAACTAATTGGATTATATTGAAATTAAGAACTTCTTGTCAACTGAAACCATTAACAATGAAAAGGTGAAATGGAAGAAGGGATTTAATATATATACATCCAGCAAGATGTGTATCCAGAAAATTTCATGTACTCCCACAAATAAGAAAAAATAGATCCACAGCCTAGAAAAATTGGCCATAAGACCTAAATGGATATTTTACCAAAGAAGATATCCAGATGGCCAATAACCATATAAAAATGTGCTGAACATTATAAATCATTAGGGAAATGTGAATTAAAACCATAATGAAAGATTCAAATGGATCCATTAGAAGAGCCAAAATGAAAAATTGACTATACTAATGTTGTTAAGAATGTGGAAAAACTGGAACTCTCACATCCTCCTGATGACAATGTACATTGGCACTGAGTTCTTGGCTGTATCCACAAAAGATGAACATCTGCAAAAACATACTATTCCATTCCTAGGTATATATATTAAAAAAATTTGTGTGCCTGAATATACAGAGATACACAAAGATTATTCATAGCAGCATAATCATGATGAGTCAAAGAGTGGAAAAATCCAAATGTCCATCAACCATTGAATGAATAGTGAGATACAGTAGAATACTCTACAGCAACAACAAAATCACAAATGTACACAAAAACATGAATGAAACTTATAAACATAATGTTGCACACACATATTTTACAACGTGTGTGCAAATACAGATGCAAATAACTTATATAAGCTATCTATTATTCCATTTATAAAGATAAATTATAAGCTAAAACAGGCAAAATAAATATATAGTCGTCAAGATAGTGATCATCTGTGAGAACGAAGGTGACAGTAATTGGGAGGGGAGGACAGGGGCTTCTGGATGTTGATGGTAATCTGAGTAGTATACAAAGACATTTGCCCTTTGTGAAACTTATTTCATAATAATTCACCAGCCGAAACCGGTTTGGCTCAGTGGATAGAGCGTCGGCCTGCGGACTGAAGGGTCCCAGGTTCGATTCCGGTCGGGGGCATGTGCCTGGGTTGCGGGCATATCCCCAGTGGGAGATGTGCAGGAGGCAGCTGATCGATGTTTCTCTCTCATCGATGTTTCTAGCTCTCTGTCTCTCTCCCTTCCTCTCTGTAAAAAATCAATAAAATATATATTAAAAAAAAAAAAAATTCACCAAACAACATACTTATAATTTGTATATTTTTCTGTTCGCATAGTATACTTTAATTTTTTTTAATTGAAATATGTGTGTGGTTAAGAGAAAGGAACAAATGATTAAATAGTGTGTACTGCTTAATATTAAATAGTCATGCACTGCTTAATAAGGATACGCTGTGAGAAATGTGCCATTAGGCGATTTTGTTGTGCAAATATCACAGAATGCACTTACACAAACCTAGATGGTAAAGCCTGCTGCACACCTAGGCTAAATGATATAGCCTATTGCTCTTATGCTACAAGCCTGTACATGTTACTAGGCGACTATAACATAATGGTAAGTATTTGTGTAATGCATTACATTATGAGGTCATAACATGACATTTCAACAACTACAACATCACCAGGCCATAGGAATTTTTCACCTCCATTACAATCTTAAGAAACTACTGTCCTATCTGTGACCCATCATTAACCAAAATGTTCTGTGGCGTCTGACTATAAAATACTAACAATTTTATAAGACAATAATGATCAAGGACATATGTTTACCTATAATAATCATAATGGTAACAATTATTGAACACTAACTACTTGCTAAGGCACTATGCTAGGCATTTTATATGCATTTTTTTCATCTATTCCTCTCAAAAACACTATGAAGTAGGTAGTGTCATAACCCTTATTTTATGGATGCGAAAACTGAGATAAGGAACTTAAGGCACTTGCCCAAAGTCACACAGTCTTAGAGCTGCAAAGATGGGACTATAACCCAGGTTCTCTAGATCAACTCTACCCCACACTCTCTCTGGAAAGACACATAAGCCACTGGCAGCAGTAACTGCTTCTGAGAAGGAAATGGGGACTGAGACTGGCTATCATAGTATATCTGGTACCTTCTGAAGGAATGCATTTGCATGTCTTACCTATTTTCAAAAATGTACCTATTAAAAAGTGTTTTCTATGGTTATAATCCCTGAGCTACACAAACGGCTTTATCCAGGACACGCGTAACTCATTGTTTTATTGCTTTACCTGATTTAGGATGCAAAGCATCACACTGGGCATTATACATGTGAACAAATTCTTGGTGCCTTTTAATGAGCTGTTGTTTATTTCCTTGAATAGATAATCCATGCTGTTTTAGCTTTTTCTTTAAATCACGATCTGATAGCAAATTATATACAGTTTTGGGCAGCGGCTTCCTTTTGTGACCAGAACTAAAAAGGGGAAAAAAAAGATCACTAAGGGTTATTGTCAATCATCAAATGCTTTTCATGTAAAATTAATTTACCTTCTGACTCAATACCAGTTGACTGAGAGAACACGACCATTAAGATAAAAGGGGGGGGGGGGATGAAATTTACAAATAAAGTAAAAAGTGTTCAACATGACCCATCTGAGGTGCCAGTTGGACATTCAGATTGAGGGGTCTAGGTGACAGCAAACTTAAGAGAAACTTAGGTCTCAGAAAGAGGTCAGTCCTAAAGATGCAGACCTGGGCCTCACATAGAAGGCTTGTGAACTAAATGCTATGAGAACTTCACCAAGAACCATACTTACATAGACTTATGCAATTCTCTATCTCTTTAAAGCATGCTTTTCCTAAAATGTGCCTATGGTTTCCATGCAAAAGCTCTATAAAAGCCAGTTATATCAGATGATTAGAGTACAAATGCTATTGAGTATTAAGCTATGGATTTAACATTATTATCATATACCAGAGGCTCGAGCACGAAATTCATGCAAGGGGCTCGGCCCCCACCACTGCAGCAGCTGCCTCTGCCTCAGCTCCCACCTGCCACGGCTTGGTCTGGTCCGGTTAATTAGCATATTACGCTTTTATTATTATAGAAGACAGCTTCTTTAGAAGAAGTTTTGATCCACAGGCAAAAATGCCCCTCAAACCCAAGGCAATCATATTGCAAAAGCAGTAGATGAAATAAAATAACACCTGTTGGGACGATTAGCTTTACCCAACTCATTGCCACTAATGAAAAGAGAATTCAGAAAACTGACAGGTAGATGATATTCTTGTATCATCATCTTAAAAGAACACAATTGAAAACAACAGCAAAAACCACAACAGGGGTTTGTTCTCTTCAACTTACATTAACTATACTAACAAATATATAAGGCCTTACAAGAAGTGTATTAGCAAAATCACCACCTGGCTCTTCATTCTATTTTCATAATTAATATACTGATCAGCACTAAGATACAATTTTAAATATAACAAAGCCCTATAAAATGACTTTATTTTACTCCCTCCAAAATATCTGTTAATAAACATTATTTGTTAAAATGGAAGTTAAGCTACCTATAGGTAACAATAACTTGAGGCAATTTTATAAACATGAACAAGTTAATGAGTTTTTTTTGTTTGTTTGTTTTGTTTTTAAATATATTTTTATTGATTTTTTACAGAGAGGAAGGGAGAGAGATAGAGAGTTAGAAACATCGATGAGAGAGAAACATCGATCAGCTGCCTCCTGCACATCTCCTACTGGGGATGTGCCCGCAACCCTGGTACATGCCCTTGACCGGAATCGAACCCAGAACCCTTCAGTCCGAAGGCCGACGCTCTATCCACTGAGCCAAACCGGTTTCGGCATGAGTTTTAATCTGATTGTAATCTGTTTCTCCGAGTGCATCACCTCACTCAACACTATGGCATTTAGATGCTTAATAAATAGGCAGTCGGTACAAATCATTTTTAAACAAGACTATCAAAGGTTCAGGAAAAAATTAATAGGAAGTTGAAAGCAACAGGTTTATTTAAAAACAAAACAAAACACCACAAAGGACTTCCATATACCTATTAACAAAAGGCCATGATACCCAAATTCGAGTGTATCTCACAGCCTCCCTGAAGAGCTTATTTAGAATGCAGATTCTGTCACTTCTCCACACCACCCCCACCTCACTTGGTCCTAAAGTGGAGACGTAAATCTATATTAATAAGGTTTCACAGGGCAAAGCTGGTCCAAATAGTAAATAACATAATGAGAGATATGGTACAGTTATATATAGACTGAAAACAGACATTTCTCTACTAAATTATTCCCTGGATAAATTATTTCTTTTATATTCTAATGAAGTCTAAAAGCCAGAGATAACTATTTAACTGCAGAAAGACTTGTAAACCCTCAACAGATTACATTTTTTTTCTGAAAATTGCACTTGTTATAACAGACAGCCTATTGAACTCAATGAGACTGATACAATTATAGCTAAATAAAACCTCAGTAGGCAGTCAGAGCTGAAACATTCTGTATGAGTTTATACAAGCACATTATAAGGAACAACTCACTAAGTCTGTATATCTAAAATACTTATTTTATCTAGGATAGATGATTAACTTAAGACTATGAAATTCTAATGAAAAACTGTACTGTTTGCTGGCATTTGCAATGAAAAGCACCAGCAGAAATTAACAATTTCTACCAAGAATGTTAAATCTAAAGCCTGATAAATGTTTCCCAAAACATGGCAATGACATTGATCCTTCTTCCATGATTTAGTGAAATGGAATAATGCACTAAGAGTCCTGAGAATCTGAAGACATCAAAAGAAAGAGCATTCTTTGAATCAACTCTGATATGAATCTACACAGAATGGATAAGGGTGGGCATCCACACCGAGGAACGGCCTGTCAGCGTGTTGTGGAGAAGAATTTTTACATGTCAGACTCTTTTATGTGAACAGACCCCAGGACCAAGATGTAACTTCTTTAAAGAGAAATGTGGCTCAATGTTTCCCTAAGTGCATCTTCACAAACACTAGTTTCACAAGATATGGGTTATGAGGACAAATAGGTTTGGGAGTGAAATAAATTTAGAAGGTACTGGATTAAAGAAAAATCCAACAATGACCTTCAACGTAGGACTTCTCAGAGCCTTCAATACACTAACTTGTATAGTCGTCCTGAGGGAGAGATTCGGTTTGCGGTGCTTCTCAGCAGCACACAGAGCAACTGGCAGGACTATAGCATCCCATGGAGCAGGGTTGGAACAACCAGTGGAACTTGAACTTAATGATACATGGGTGCGTATGTCTTTGGATTAATTGAAAGAGTTAAATGTGTTTGAAGAAATAGGATGGATGCATCTAGTAAAACAGCAGTCTAAGCAAGGTATCCATGTTGATTCCTAACTTTTCAAGGAGAAAATGCTCAGCCTCTATATTCCCAACTCTTTCTTTAGGAAGAAACATTTCTAAAGAGAAACGCAGGTCCTCAGGTTCTCATGGCTTATGGGAAATAATCCTTAGGACGACCCAGCTTCATTTCTTCCAAACCTCAACTAACAAAGTAACCTGAAAAAAATCTAAATTTTATTCTCGTCAACAAATTTTCCCACTAGGAGGGAGTACTGTGCAGACCAGACTGCGTAGGAATTTGTGGCGGCACCTGGGGGCCTAGAGGCCACCATGGATGAGAGGCAGGGACGAAGGGGGAGGTCAGGTGAAGCAGCACAACCCCCAGGCCCTCCATCTCTACTTAAATGCAGCACAGCCAATTTTATCTATTTTATATGTTTTAGGTCACAGTAAGATTTCACTTGAAAAAAGTGCTATCAACTCTCAAACTAAAAACACAATAAGAACTGTCAATTAATGCCCCACTGTAAATTAATAAAGCATTATCATGCTGCATATACTACCTTTTGTAAGTTATAACAGCATGAGTTTGTCCCTTGGAATCTGACTTCATTCCATATTTACTCTTAAAATTGTGACACCATTTTATCTTTAATCACAATAAAACAGTAAAAGGTCCTGCCTTATTAACATGGTTTTTGGAAAATACTCTTCCAAGTCCTTCAAAACAGACCAAACAGTAAGAGCCAATCATTCTATTCACCCCACTCCCAGATACCATCAATTTCTTCAGTTCCCCTCATCTCCTTTTACAAATCTCTCTGAATTATCACCTACTGCCCCGCCCCCTCCCTTCAGAAGGAGAATTCTTTCTACACATCAAGGACAACTTCATGACTGGACTCTTCATCTCTTATAATCCCAATCTTGTGCCATCTATCATCTGATCTCTCCCTGGAGACAGTGGAAAAAGAGTGACTGAAAGTTTAACCAATTTCTATTTTAAAAAATAAAATCTTCCTTGATCTTGATGTTTACATACTCCTTTCCCAGACTACCATCTCATCTCTCTTCTTTCCTTCATCACCAGACTCCTCTACTTTGCAGCTTCTGCTTATCATCTTCATTAACCTCTGATTCCCTAACACCCTGAAATATATCTTTGACTAAAATTTCATTCCCAAACAATTTATATGCATAACAACAGTGGCCTACATCAATAAATTGCTGTAACTTTGATATATGAAGGAGGCAAAACAGAAGTTTGGGTGCAAACAATGAGTTGACTACTTACTACCTACGCCCTCTGGTGGTTGGGGGCTGGGGCAGGAGGACATTCCATTTCACACATACCCTTTTGTGCCTTTTAATGTTATATATAGACTAGAGGCCCAGTGCACAAAAATTTGTGCACTCGGGGGAAGGGGGGGTCCCTCAGCCCGGCCTGTGCCCTCTCGCAGTCTGGGACCCCTCGGGAGATAACGACCTGCTGGCTTAGGCCTGCTCCCGGGTGGCAGAGGGCGGGCCCAATCCCTAGGTGCAGCCCCTGGTCGGGCTCAGAGCAGGGCTGATTGGGGAGTTGGGGCACCTTCCCCTGTCATGCACAGAGCAGGGCAGATTGGGAGGTTGCGATGCCACCCTCAGTCACGCTCAGGGTAGGGACGATTGCGGGGTTGGGAACCGCCCCGTCACACTCAAGGCAGGGCCAATGGGGAGGTTGCGGTGCCACCCCGTCACGCACAGTGCAGGGCCCATCAGGGGGGTTGGGGCTCCGTACCCTGTCATGCACAGGGCAGGGCCCATCAGGGGGGTTGGGGCTCCATACCCTGTCATGCACAGAGCAGGGTCAATCAGGGGGTTGGGGAGCTCCCCCCTGTCATGCACAGAGCAGGGTCAATCAGGGGGTTGAGGAGCTCCCCCCTGTCACTCACAGAGTAGGGCTGATAGGGGAGTTGGGGCACCGCCCCTTGTCACACTCAGGGCAGGGCGAATCAGGGGGTTGGGGCACCACCACTGTCACACTCAAGGCAGGGCAGATGGGGAGGTTATGACTCTACTCCATCACACACAGAGCAGGGCCCGTGGGGCGGGGGGGTGGGGGGGGGGCGCCGCCCTCTATCACCCACAGAGCAGGGCCCGTGGGGGGCGGGGGGGTTGGGGCCCCGCCCCCTGTCACACACAGAGCTGCAGGGCGATCAGGGGGTTTGGGCACTGCCCCCTGTCACGCTGATCCTGGTGCCAGGAGGCCTCGCGGCTCCGCTGATCCCGGTGCTGGGAGGCATATTACCCTTTTACTATATAGGGTAGAGGCCTGGTGCATGGGTGGGGCTGGCTGGTTTGCCCTGAAGGGTGTCCTGGATCAGGGTGGGGGTCCCCACTGGGGTGCCTGGCCAGTCTGGGTGAGGGGCTGAGGGCTGTTTTCAGGCTGGGGTGACTGAAGCTCCCAACCGCTCCTTTTTTTCTTTTTTTCTTTTTATTTTGGGCCAGCTTTAGCTCTGAGGCCTCGGCTGCTGAAAACAGGTTTCTGGCCTTTGTTCACCATCTGTATTTGATACAATGTTGCAGTCCGGCTGGCTGAAGCCCCGCTGAGTAAAGCAGGTTTCTGGGGTTTTTTTAGCTTCTATATTTGCAACATAGTTGCTTAGAGTTGCAGCTGAGAGGCCGGCAAGTCAGGCGGGGAACGTTGGAGTCCTCCGTCACTGAAGCAAGCAAGCCTCCCTGTTCGCATCAGCAGCCTGGCTGCCAGCCGCCATCTTGGCTGCCAGTTAATTTGCATATCTCGCTGATTAGCCAATGGGAAGGGTAGCGGTCATACGCCAATTACCATGTTTCTCTTTTATTAGTGTAGATAATTGCCTATTTGGAAAAAAGTTTTTGAAACTTCTTTTTTTTAAATTATAAAACTTACGAGCATCCTAAGAACCAGAGAAAGATTTTATATGTTCTATATTCAGAGTCTAACCTTGCTTTCTTTGGCTAAGGGGCTTTATGGTAGTTCTAAAGTTCTAAGGGAAGAATGCCCTAACTGGTTTGGCTCAGTGGATAGAGCATCGGCCTGTGGACTGAAGGGTCCCGGGTTCGGTTCCTGTCAAGGGCATGTACCTTGGTTGAGGGCACATCCCCAATAGGGGGTGTGCAGGAGGCAGCTGATCGATGTTTCTCTCTCATTGATGTTTCTAACTCTCCATCCCTCTCCTTTCCTCTCCGTAAAAAATCAATAAAATATATATTAAAAAAATAAAATAAAGTTCTAAGGGAAGAAAACAAATTAAAATAAAATTTAATCCTAAGTCACTAATTTCTTGTTAAGTCAAATTTTATTAGCAGTTAAATTCAATAGTTAATCCTATTTGGCAAAGGGAATGGAAGCGTCAACTGACAGAAGTAAAGGAAAGAGCATATGGGAGAGGGACTTGGACAACTGGTCACTAGGATACAATGAACATTATATTTTCTGCCCTAAATTTATAAAGCACATGAAGCACCCAGCTAAAGCGGCTCAATGGTTATGCTTAACTTTCTTACCTTCTGAGGCTCTCCTTCTTCTCTTCACGGGATAAACAGCTGTCCAAGTGCTTATTGATGTGATCTTCTAGAATACCTACCCCGCACACAGGACATTCCACTGTATTTTTTTTTTAAAGAAAGAAAGACTTTATTGCTTGTAAAATGGTCAAAAATATTATAACATGGCATCTTTCAGAGATTAAGATACAAAACAGAATGCCAACATGAACGTGTACTTAGAAAAGCAGAAGAGAAAAGGAATGACATCTCCAGCCAACAGGAGTGGGACAGACAGGTTACTAGGTAATGACTGAATTGTGGAAAGTCACCTAATTCAAATCCTGGGCCTAGACGAAGATACTGCAGAAAAGTTTGGAAATGTGTTTATTAGAAAACTAGAGGCCCGATGCACAAAATTCATGCACTGGGGGGTGGGGGGTGGGGGGGGGTCGCATTCCCAGCCTGGCCTGTGCCCTCTCACAGTGTGGGAGCCCCGTGATCAACTGCCCCAAAGAGGTAGGCCCCACCCAACCATCCAGGGCTCCTCAATGGATTGCCTCAAAGATGTAGGCCAGAGATGGGAGTCCCGCCTCTGCGGCGGGCAAGGGGCTGCGGGAATCCTGGCGGAAGCTGCCCAGCTGTGCGCACAACCATCTTGTGACAGTGGTGAGGACCACCTAGGCTTTTATTAGTAAGATGCTTTGGTTAAATCTTTTCTACCAAGATGTGACCAAACTATAAAACTAATCTTAGGTTTTCCCAACTCTTAGAAGGCATTCCTGCATGTTTAGCTCTGAAGTAATCATAACACCTGAGGAAGACACACTTGGCTGGGGGCAGGGTGAAGGGGTGATGGTGCAGCTAGACCAAAGCATTTACTGGTTTAAGCCAATTACTGCTCAATTCATCCCTGGCTACAAATTGGTTAATTTAGCTCTCGCTTGTAAAATTAGGAAAATGCAATCATTCTCCAACTGTTTCATGGATTGTGCTGATGTGTGGCGGTGTCTGGGGGCCTAGCAGCCACTCTGGGTAACAGGTAGGGACGAAGGGGAAGAGCAGGTGGAGCAGCACATCTCTAAGGCAGCAAGGCCTATTGTATCTCTCTCTTTTTCAAGTTATGGTTCCTTGTAAGATTTCATTTGAAAAAATAATGTTGCTAAAGGAAAAAAACTAACTATCAAGCTATAAACACTACCATAAGAACTGTGAATTGACAGACTGACCAAATATAAGGTATGCTAGGAAATGCAGGTAAAATTCACATACCCTTATGAACTTTAAATACTTGCTACTAATAAACTAATGTCAATATAAATTTAATAACTAATAGCCTGCACTGTGTGTGCTATGTCTAAAGACCCAGGGTCCTTTAAACTTCACTGGCAAGAACAGACATGAAACAATAGGCTAAACAAGCTGACCCGCTCATCAAAAAGTTAGCAAATTATACACACGGTCCAGAAAACATGTGCTGTCACATTTTAGTGATATAAGCTATCAATATTATCTAACAAAACCAAAGAGTGGTTAGGCTCTGGATAGAGTCTAAAATGCTGCTTATTGATTCATCTGGAATGCAGGATGAGAGGATTCCCACTGAGTAAGAAAATACACGCGAAAATCATTTCCTACCTTTAGTAACTTGTTTCAAAGTCGATGTAGAGGGTACCTCAGGAACATTAGCACCCGCGATACATGAAGCTGTCCTTTCTAAAGAAGGTGTCTCTTTGGTCTTTGCAGAACTGCTCACCTCCTTCTGAGGGTTGACTTTGCTTTCATTCTCATTTATCAACTCTGATGTAGAACCACTAGTTTCTCTGATCAAGAAATTCTCCATTAACCTGCTTCCTTGCTTTAAAGGCTGTTTGAAGGCTACAGGAGTATGGGCTTTGGCAGCAATATTCTTTGAAGAGGAGGAAGCAGGAGAAATGGGTGGTGACTCTGAGGCAAGCTGCAACAAATGATTCCTTTAAGCACAAAAAACACAACGGGTAATTAAGATACCAAGTAATGTGTAGTAAGTTAAGTAACATAAGCTGTTTTCCCAATTAACACTTATTTCTATGAAATACAGAACTTACTCCATAATGACAACCAAACCAAATTGCTTCCTCTAGAATAAAATAAATAAAAAATAATATATCGAACTTTAAAAATCAGTTAATCTGTCTATTAAAAAAAATGGAGGGACTTCAGATTCTGATGATGGAGAATAGCTAGTCTGAGAATTAATGTCCATTCATAAATAACTTTAAAATGTGGATAAAATATATAAAACAACTGTTTGTAAGCATGGGCTATAATCAACATAAGGCTAGAATCCCTGCAAGAAGAGAAACATGAGGTATATCCCCCAAGAATGTCCCCTGGAAACATTTCCTGGGAGTTGTATATTAAACCGAGTCAAACATAGACCAGTGATCTCACTGGGTAGAGGGAACAGAGACCACAGGTCTAGGGAAAGGTGGCTAGGATTGGAGGGACAGGCTGTAGATAGGAGTTAGCCATGGAAAAGGAACCCCAGAATTCTTCTTAGAAAATGTTGTCAATTCCTGATCATCTCCAAGACTGCAGAGCATAAGAGGAAAATAGGAGACACTATCGGAAACAGATGCCAGGAAGCTGAGGTTCCAAAGGTCAGTGCTAGAAACTTGTTGGGAGTTGGAGCCCAGCCAAAGCTGAGAGACCTCAGTGTAAGACCTCAGACATTCAGTTGTAACCCAACAAAGGCCACACCTTAGGAAGAAGGGTCACACCCTAGACATATAAGTAAAACTAAAATAGACCAAACCTAACAAAACACTAAACTAGGCCTAGATAGGATAAAAGTGAAGAGCTGATAACTGCCTATCAGAACAAAAAATTCAACATCTTACAAAGGAAAAATAATTCATAGCCCCTATTATATTTTCACCCACAATGTTCAACATACAAGTAAAAATTACTAGACAGGCAAAGAAGCAAGACAAGTAGCCAATAATCAAGGGAAGCAGATCCAGAAGTCATTCAAAAAGTAACTATGTCATCAAAGTAACTATGATGAATATGTTCAACAAAAAAGATGAGAACATAATCAAATGGATAGAAAGATAGTGTCTTGTAAGAGGGAATTAAAATCCATCCCAGGAAGGAAAAAGGCATATCACTGGAAAATAAAAAGTAATGAGGAAATTTTGTAAGTAACCAGAAAAAAATAAGACACAGCTCAATCTTGGCACTATTGACAATTTGAGTCAGACAATTTTTGTTGTAGGGAACTTTTCTGTGCATTGTAGGAAGCTTAGACATTCCACTAAGACAAACATATCTTAATTAAATTTTGTTCAACACAGTTTCTTAAGGCCATTATTTTAAGTAAAATTGAGTTGAGAAAAAACAACAACACTGTTCTTTAAAATAAAAGGCAAAAGTTAGAAGAAAATGTAAGATGTGCATGTCAGCCTGTGTCTGAAAACCTCAAGAATTATTTCCAATACCCTTTTGTTATCCCATTTAGAATATTAAAGTTTTAAAAATTATGTCATAAAATGGCAATGAAAAGACAGGAAGAAACAAAATCAACAAACAATATAAATATCTTACATTTTGTCATAAAAGTAAACATCTTTCCTTGTCCATTGTAAACCAGATTTTAAATAAGAAATGAAATTAGCTTGAATTTCATTCCTAATTTTGCAAATGAGATACCACAGTGCTTTAGACATGACAAATGTCAGAGGAATGCTCACCATAAGGCAACTCCAAGGCTAACAAAAGAAGTAAAATCCACCCCAAATCTACAGAGAATGCTTCCCACTCCACCACACCGCTGTTATGAATAACTAAATAACCTATTCCTTTTGGGAGGGAGGAAGGGGAGAGTTCAGTCATTCCAAGGCCTCCCTTTAAGTTACCAAAAGGTCTGTGAACCCAAAGATACTGATCTCTTCCCTTCCACAACACTCCCTTTTTCTTAGCAGAGAGGTTGTTATGTTTTCAGTACCGGCTAAAGAGAAAAAATAAGCCTGAGATACAATTATACTGTCTCAAAAATTCCTTTCCTAAGACATGACTCCAACTTTTCTCACAAGCTTCAAAATCGAATTGACTGAAAGACTTTAACATTAAAAAAGCAATAACTTTGATTATGAGAATCAGAGAATCTCAGAGTTTCTTCATCTAGGAAAGCTTACCACCTTTTTATGATTTTCCTTAGGGAAATAACTAATGAGCCAATTTCTAGAATGTCATATTTGTAAGTGCAGAGTACTAAATTTGATTGTTTTTTAGGATCAATCATTGTGCAATTCTACTGGAAGAAATCTCTTTACATTTTTAGACGCAATGTAATATACATCCAAGAATGCTCCAAAAGCCTGGAAGTCATACACTAAGTACATGGACACCTACCATTAACTAAACAGTATATTCTTAATAAAAATTCCTACTTGACTTGCATGCTTTAAACTAAAAATAATTCAAGATGCTATTTGGTAAAATATGCCTTTTTATATCCCTTTAGGTGAACAAACTCACCTTCACCATTATGCATTTCAGTTAAGAAGAAAAGCTACGTTTCTGACTTTAATAAAGTGGCTAGCACATATTTCACATGGCACATCATTTTATACATGCTAAGAAAATCAGATTAAGAATGAACAGATTAATATGTAATGGACACAAAAACAATTATAGATGTATGTGTATACATGGGTTAGTAAACACATAAATACACATGCACATGTTGCCCAGCTCTGTCCATGGAGAGGGCCTAGAAGCAAACACCCCAGTAACAATGAGCACAGCCCACTCCAGATCCTGATTTCTAAACATCATCTAATCTAATAAAAGACAAACATGCAAATTGACCATACCTTTGCTATGCCTTAAGCCACGCCCACCAGCCAATCAGAGCGACTATATGCAAATTAACCCAACCAAGATGGCAGCCGGCAGCCACGGAGCTGAAGCGAGCAGGAGGCTTGGTTGCTCCAGTGATGGAGGAAGCCAAGCTTCCTGGTCGGCTCTGAGCTCCACTGAAGGCAACAAAGTTTCAATTATAGAAGGTAAATAAACCCCAGATACCTGCTTTCAGCAGGCCCTGGCCACGGAGCTGGAGCTAGCAGGAGATGGCTCTGAGCTCCACTGAAGGCAACAAAGTTTCAATTATAGAAGGTAAATAAACCCCAGAATAAAAAAAAAAGAAAGGAAAAAAGGAGAGGCTGGGAGCTTCCGTCGCCAGGGGGGTTGGCCAGCCTGAAAACAGCCCTCAGCCCCTCACCCAGACTGGCCAGGCACCCCAGTGGGGACCCCCACCCTGAAGGGGCTGTGTCCAGCCTGAAAACAGCCCTCAGCCCCTCAACCAGGCTGGCCAAAACACCATGGGGTGAGGGTCCCCACTGGGGGCTTGACCAGCCTGCAAACAGCCATCAGCCCCTCACCCAGGACCCCCACCCGTGCACCAGGCCTCTATCCTATATAATAAAAGGGTAATATGCAAATTGACCCTAACAACAGAAAGACTGGGAATGACTGGTAACTATGACACACACTGACCACCAGGGGGCAGAGCTCAATGCAGGAGCTTCCCCCTGGTGGTCAGTGTGCTCCCATAGGGGGAGCTCTGCTCAGCCACAAGCCAGGCTGACAGCTGCCAGTACAGCGGTGGCGGTGGGAGCCTCTCCCGACTCCTCAGCAGCACTAAGGATGTCAGACGGCAGCTTAGGCCTGCTCCCTGCTGGTAAGTGGACATCCCCCGAGGGCTCCCGGGCTGCCAGAGTGATGTCTGATTGCCAGCTTAAGCCCAATTCCCCAGGGAGTGGGCCTAAACCAGCAGGTGGTCATCCCCGAAGGGGTCCCAGACTGCGAGAGGGCCCAGGCCAGGCTGAGGGACCCCCCTGAGTGCACAAATTTTTGTGCACCGGGCCTCTAGTTCTCCAATAAAAGGAACTAGGGCTCCTTGGGAAATGGTTGACTCTAGGCCTGGGGCAGGAAAAATAAAAAATGAACTGGAGTATCTTTGTAGTACCCAAAAGTAAGTGCTGCTCAAATCTGCATTTTAACTCTTGTTTTTCATAACAGGTGGATTCTGTTAAGTAGAGGGAGACAATCCCATTACAATTAAATTGTCCATGCTTGATTAATAACTGTTGCTGCCTCCCTACTTTACCCTAAATATGCAACTCTGCCTTCCCTAATCCCCAAAAGTGCAGAGTAAAGAGGGGACACATAAAAGGCGAAAGTGGTTAGGGGTTAGTCACAAAATCACATCATACCGTGCAAAATTCAAGCTTTTTACCAGTTCATCCAATGCGCGGTTATTTTTCAGGTCTGGCTCTGTGACCGTCTAGAACAGAAAAACAACAGATGGAAAAAAGTCATAAACAATAATTTACTTGTCATAATCTTATTTTTGAAAATGTGTGACCCATCCTCCTGAGACTTCCCATCCCATTAAAACTTCCAGGAAAGCTTCAAAATAAAGTTTATTTATCTCACACTAATAAGGTATTTAAAAACAGAGTATCAGCCAACTGGAAGTCTGATAAAAGTTCTACAAAGGATATATACTCTGTACTAAGGTAAAACTTAATATGAGTGAGGATGCCAACACTCAGGTTTACCAAACATTTCTCCTGAAGAAAAGATGCTCTCTTAAAAACAAGATTGGTTTTTAGGAATGTAAGAGGAAAATGGTAAATCCAGTAGTTATTTAGCATAAATGAAATACAGTTCATCTCCCTGATGATACCCTCTTGGCAAAGACAGTGTGCCTAATGTTGTAAAAGCTTAGACTCGAGAAACAAACTATCATTTCTTACATAGGGTTTTTGCATAATAGCTCAGAGAAGTTCAATGGCATCCTCACACCATGAACCCAATAGAACTAGAACCCAAGCCCCTTTAACTAGTCCAAGTGTCCTTGCTGTTAGGCCTTACTGTCTCTTTTACTTCTTTCTTTACTCCTATTAATGTCTACTTTCCCTTTTAACCTACCTTTTCATCTATTTCCACTACTTGAAAAACTTCAGAAACCACTAACAAAACTAACAACAAATTTCCTAGTGTTGTCCCTGAAGGTCTGTTTTGGGAAAGATGTAAGGGACCAGTTAGGCTGGGTTCAGCCCAATGGCCATGAATCTTTGCCTTCTGCACAAATACTTACACCAGTCACTTGCAAATAATAACCCTACTATCAAATTTCCTATGCAATGTGAGAAATAATAACAAGTGAAAAGCCATAAAAATATGGGTCTTAACATTTTATGAGTGCTACATTCTGGCCTTAAAATTAGTGTTTCCTCCTAAAATACATTTAGGTCACCAGAAGTCCCCATAAAAACTTGAACAAAGCACAGTTCTCCACATATGTGTTTTAGAGGTCCTTTCTCTCAAAATATCTTTTTTATAGCTCAATTTAATAATTACACATCTTCCCTTGGGCTTCCGCGTACACATGAAACAGAAATATTTGCACCTCTGAATAAGTTTTTTAAAAAACAAAAAAGGAAAGAACAACTCACCACACAACAAGTTGGACACTGTGTTTTATAGGACAAAAATTTTCTTATACAGAGAGAACAGTCTGCAAAAACATAAATGCAACATAAATTAGTTAAGCTATATTAATAGTACAGGAATCTGACTTCTAACAAAATCTGACATAAGGTGTAGAATATTTCCATCATCTAAGGCAGTGGTCACCAACCAGTGGTCCGTGGACCACTGGTAGTCCGTGAGGTCTGAAAGGTTGGCGACCACAGATAAGGTATCTATATATATAAAAGCCTAAGCAACCGTTATGACCAAACGACCGAAACGACCAGTTGCTATGATGTGCACTGACTACCAGGGGACAGACGCTCAATGCAGGAGCTGCCCCCTAGTGGTCAGTGTGCTCCCACAGCCAACCTCCCATGCCAGCCAACTTCCCGCAGCCCCTCTCCAAACCCCTCCCCTTGCCCAACTGGCCCCTGATAGGCCTCAATCGCTGGCCAGACCGAGGGACCCCACCCGTGCACAAATTTGTGCACCGGGCCTCTAGTATCATTATAATATCAAAATTCTAGTACCTCTACTCTACCTATGCACATTTGCAAATGTGATTAAGTAGCATTTTTTTAAAAAAAAAGCATATCAAATAATAATAATCATGAGTCCCTAGAGCATTACAACTCCATAAGCAAAATACATCACTCTCTATATCCTCCATCTGTAAAATGTAGGAAACATACATGTAAGACCTGGAATGGATATTATAGACTCACTAGAGGCCCGGTGCACAAAATTCATGCACTCGGGGGGAGGGGCGGATTCCTCAGCCCAGCCTGTGCCCTCTCACAGTCCAGAAGCCCCACGATCGATCACTCCAAAGAGGTAGGCCCTGCCCACTCGGCCAGGGCTCCGCGATGGATCACTCCCACAGAGTAAGGCCCCCCAAACCCGCCACAGCAGGGTAACCTGGGCCTCCCTCTTTGGGGTGATCGATCGTGCCCCACAGAGGGAGGCCCCATCCACCCGCTACAGCCCGCCGGTCAGTGGCCTGGGCCTCTCTCTGCAGGGTGATCATGCAATCGATCGCACCCCACATAGGGAGGCCCTGCCCATCCACCGCAGCCCCCTGGTTGGTGGCCTGGGCCTCCCTTTGCCTGGCGATCATGGGGCAATGGCCGGGCCCCCGACCAACCACACCAGCCTTGGCTGGCCTGGTGCCAGCCAGTGTCTTACCGTGGTTGTCGGGACGGTCGTTCTGCTGTTTGGCCGTTTAGTTGATTTGCATATCACACTTTTATTCTAGATGTCAGATATCTCCACTGACTAACATTCTAACATATAAATTTTGAAATAATATATATATATATATATATATATATATATATATATATATATACACACACACACACACACACACATACATACACACACACAGTTAGGATTTCTACATCCTAACTCTATAAATGATGTCCATTATCCCACATTTAATAAGTACCTTTGTGCCTAACACTAAGAAAAGAACAATATATAATGGAAGGTTCTTGACCTCAAGGAGCTAACAAAATAGCCAAGTAATTACAGTGTAATAAGTCCTAACAATTTAAGCAGGAAGTTGACATTAACTAAATTCTTCATACCCAAGGCAATGTAAAATGATCTCTCTTAAAGAAAAAATAGATATGATTAATAGAATGGTATCATACTGGTAGAAAATGTGTTTTTAGGCCAAGTTCAGCTTAATGAAGGGGCTTCATTTAAAAAGGACTCAGTTTAGTGAAGGAGGAGGAGACAGTATGCTTTCAGATACAGATGGCCAGTAAATGAACAAGACATACCAGCCTTAGTAAGAACATTCAGGAGGAAAAACGAAAGAATGAGTTATAAAAAAGATAAAAATGGGCCAAGTTAAGTTCTTTGGGAAGCAATGGTAAAAAGGGGACTTCTGGTTTCTGGTCTGGCATGTAAGGAGCTCAGAAGTCATAACTCTATCTAACAACAAGAAAAACAACATACAGACTGAAAAATCAACAACTTTTCTTGGATACACCAGAGAAGTGAGGTCACAGGGCAAACTGCTGTCCCCCAAATTGGAGACATCAGGCTGGAAATAGAATCACAACTTACCAGAGTAGAAACCCATACTCAGAAACTTGCATGGGAACCAGAGCTGGGGTAAAACCTGAACTGCAACTGACAAATAGTGTGAACAGTCTGAGTTTAAAAATCCTAAGGCAACACAAATACTGGGGAGCAGGGTGAGAGTGAGGAGGGGCTCACACTTACGTGTTTTCACTCCAAGAGGTCTACCAGGTTCTCAATGTGACTATCAGACAAAAGTCCCCTAGTCCTTCTGCAGGAGGAGCGGAAAGGTAGTTTTTTGAAATGCACCCAAGCACTGGGTTCTTCTTAACAAGGCCTGCCCTCGAGAAACTATTCTACCAGGGCCTGTTTTGTTAGGGTTTATCAGCGCCCAGCTGACCTGGGGGAAGGGAAACAACCAACTCCAGCTACTTCTAGCTCTCCGTCCGCCGGGGGAAGTTGGAACTGGGGGGTGAGGGAGACGTGAAAAGCATGTGTGACGTGCAAAGTCCAAGGGCACAGGCTGACCAAAAGGCTGAGACCTAATCACAGGACTACAGAACACACCTCACCACATTACTAAAGGACTCTTTACTGCAGTTCCTTTTACCTAGTACCCCACATCCCACTATTAGGGAAAAATTATGAGGCATACCAAAAGGCAAAAAAACAGTTTGAAGGAACTGCAAGCATGAGAACCAGTCAAATATGGCAGGGATGTTGGAATTATCAGACCAGGAATGTAAAACAACTATAATTAATATGCAGCTAAGGGCTCTAATGAACAAAGTAGACAACAATCCACAGCAGATGGGTAATACAAGTACATTATCTCCCAAAAGTCCCATCTCCAAATACCATCATTTTGGGAATTAAGGCTCCAACATAGGAATTTGGAGGAAACACAATTCAGTCCACACATTGTATTACTTGCCCTCAAAAATCCATGTCCTGACCTGGAAAACATACATCTCACCAGCACCTAAAGGGGCTGTGAGGATTAACAAAGAAAAGAGCTGGGCAGCTTGCTGCTGCTCCAGAAAACACACAGGACAGCAGACAGAGGCTGATCCAGCTCAGTAGCTTCTCCTTTGGGGGAAAAGAGGAGAGGGTAGCATGCATCCAATAGTTCAGCTTTTCAATGGGCTGCCTGAGGGACTGGCCTCTGTCTCGCCTGACTTGCAGTGCTGATAGGATGGGGCACATTCCAGATGCCTGGGGCCACTAGGATTAGAAAAGAGCAGAGTAGCTCATTATAGTTCCAGAGGTCCCGCAGTACCACAGATGCAAGAGGAAGCAAGAGATAACAAACTAATGAAAAAAACAACAACAACAAAACAGCAAAATGTCTCATTGGGAATTTACACTCACAAGTCCAGAGACTATACATCCACAGAAAAGGTTTAAAGACACCCCCAGAATCTCTAGCTGGGCTAACCAATGAAGGTCTTTCCTTAAATGAAGACAGTTTGTAAAATCTGTACTAGGTGGCAACTGAAAAAGTAGTTTTAATTTTTCTTAACTTTAATTAGTTTTAATAAAAATGTAAAAGCCACATATGGCCACATTTAGCTATGGTATTAAACAGTATAGGTCTAAATAGTCCAAGTGAAAACAGATATTGTCCAACTGCATTACAGGACAAGATCCAAATATATGTTGTCTATAAAAAGCTCAATTTAAACATAAAGAAACACATAGGTTAGAAGTAAAAGATGGAAAAAGCTAAACGATGCAAATACTAATCTTAAAGAAGTGGGAGTGGCTACATGAGTATCAGAAAAAAAAGGCAGACTTCAGAACACTGGGATTATTAAACTTTGAAACTCTACACAAACCATTACTTAGTTGAACTACCTATCTGTTATCCTGCTAAAAACAAAAATTATGAAATTTAACGTCTAAAAGTGCTTGGCAAATAAAGAATCATATATTGTGACTAACATCTTTATTGCCATAAATATTACAAAAGGCATAAAAACATCCAAGCAGTAAGTGATAGAAAATATAGGAGGTTTTATAAAAACTTCAATATTCAAGAGGAAATGGTGAAAAAGACCTTCTGAAAACTTCAAGATGGAGCTAAAAATGAGAAATAAATGTATACATATCTTTGGTGTTTAATTAATATTACCTGTAGGAACCCTATTCAGAATATGCTGGATGTTCAAGGCCACTCTGAGCATGAGAATCTTAATCAGGGTATCCAAGGACTATACACAGGTACGAGCAAGGCCACAGTAATCTGTATGTACACTGCACAAGCGTGCCCTTCTATAGCCCAAAAGACTCAGGTCACTATTTGGAAGGAAGTATCAGGAAGGATATTACTGACCAGCTCGGTGAGGCTGCTCCCAGGAAAGGCAATGAAGGTCTTTGTTGTTATTGAGGCTGCTGTTATGTGGGGCTGCATTACTGACCAGCAGGCTGCTGCTGTGGGTACAGAGGCTACTGCTACTGTGTGGGAAAGATGTGTTGTTACCTAGCCTGTGTGGCTACAGAATGGGACTTTGCTTTGAAGGAACTGTTTTGTCTAATGACTCCTTGTTAGCAATGGCTACATGGCCACTGGCTTCTACAATAAAGACTCTCTTATATACCCACAACTTCTCATGGCTTCTCTGTCTCTGAATACCCAGAATTCAAGAAGGTCCAGTCACTGGCAGAGGGGCTTGGACCCGACACTAACTTACATAAAAATCACATTTTTACTAATTCACAGAAACAGTATATACTTACAGTTATGTGAACACTGAGGAATCATCATTGCAATGTTGAAATATTCAAAGCAAATTCCACACCGCAGCAAATCATCTACTGTCTGAAATGCAAATATACATATATATGTATCAGAAAGACACCCACATTGAAATGTCTGGCACAGAACTCTTTCTCCATCTCTAAAAAAATAACTTAGTAGTACTTATTTGTCAAATATACAAACTCCACATAAACTGCAGGAGATCTTAACAAATAGAGAAAAACCTCCCCCATGTGACTCTTACACATTCAAAACACTGTAAACGGATCAAGCTGGCAGTGTACAGATTTTTACACAATACTGTTACTCCTTCACAAAAGGACTACTCTATTCCTGCTCCACTTCCCACACGTTTCCAGTCTGTACTCCAGGCACCTCCTCTTCAGACCGCATCCCCCGGCCTACAGTCACTGCTAAGGGAAAGGTACCAGTAGCCAGTCAGCACACAGGTTAAAACCAAATCAGAAAATATTAAAGCCAAACATTAGAAATTATCTAGTTAAACCCCTTACTTTACACATAAGGACACTAGTATCCAGAGTAGGCACGCATATGGGGCATGAGTCCAGCCTGGACTAAACTTCCTGTCTCCTGACTGGCTTCTGCATGGTTCCACAATGGAGCCAAAGAAGCCCTAGGGAGACTGGGGCCAGTGACGGCAGAGGGAGGTGAAGAAGTGGACAATCTGGAAAGTCAGACAGATGTGTGTCAACCTGGAATGCAACCAAAAAGGATCTACTCTCACAATCCCAAATCTTTAAATCATTTAAAATGAAATGTTTGTCAACAGAATACTGAGAAGACAAAAAAGAGGGAGCTCTCTTATGCACTGATATGGAAAGATTGTCAAGATAAGTGAAAAAAGACAGTACATATGGTATGCTACCTTTGGCTTAAAAGGCAGGGGAGAATAAGAATGTGTTCCATTTTTATCTTGTATGCAGGTATAAAGAAATTCTGAAAAGATACACAAGAAAGTAATAAATGGTCACAGGAGTTAGAAAACTGGATAGAAGAGGGACGAGTTGGGAGGTAGACTTTTACTTTTCATTTCATGTATTTTTTTAACCATGTGAGCGTATTACTTAAATTTTAAAATAACAAATGAAAAAAAGACTAATGTCACTAGTCTATATGATGAAATATTATGTAGCCATTTAAAAAAATATATGCTTTCAAAGAAAAATGCCATAGGAAAATGTTCATGTTTTAATGGAAACTGAAAAAAAAATGCATCAGAGAACAAATCTATAACAATAATAAATAATAATAGAACCATGTAGTTTAATCTCCATAACAATCCAATGAGGTCTATAGCATCTGAATCCCAGCCTTACAGACTCAGACTACAGAGCTTAAAAGCAGTTGGATCAAACTCAAGAAGTTGACCCCAAGAATCCCAAATTTTAAATGCATTTACACATTGTGGGCATGTGCGGGCATGAGCACACACAAGGTAAACTGACCAGAAATAAGAGAAAATGTCAAACAGTAGTTATCTCTAGACCAGTGGTCACCAACCTTTCGGACCTCACAGACCACCAGTGGTCCGCGGACCACCGGTTGGCGACCACTGCCCTAAACAATAGGATAATGGGTAACTCATTTAGTCCTTGCTCTTATCCTGAAGTTTAATTTTTTTCTACTATATACACATACATTTATAACCTGTCAAAGTCAGAAATTTTTGTTATTGTTAAACCAGGGAAATAAACATTATAATACCAAAACCTTCCATTATTTTATATGGTAAGCTACCATTGACTCAAAAAGCAAGAGGGTTGTGTTGAAAATCGATTAAGAGCAGAAGCAGAACTGGAAGACAGAGCCCTGGCATCTAGTCCATTGTAATTTCTTCTATATAACCATCCTCTTCCGGTGGAGGAGTGGTTCTGACAGGTCTGCTGAGCAAGATCTGTGGAAGGTGACACCACATCAAACAAGCTGTTATATAACACTAGTGGTCCAGTGCACGAATTTATGCATATTGAAAGGAAATTAATTAGAAGAAATATTTTAATATCACTATTCGCCCTTTGTCTATAATAGAAGTGTCAGAGATGAAAGAAAATTAGTAAAATGTACATTAAAATAATATAAAAATTGATTAATAAGAAACAATAACATGATATAACAACGAATATTTCCCATGAAATTTTTACTGTCAGAATCTTCGTTTATCATTAATTCTTTTAAATATGCCGGGTATTCTGGAAAATTTATATCATTTGGACAAAATGCCTTTGCTACAACATCGAGTAAATTTTCCATCAGATGGTTTTTCATTGGAGAAATTTAGGAATAGGCAAAATTGACATGTAACAGTCATTCCGCCACAACTGTGTTCGATAACTGCATCCTCATTTACCTCATTTTCGCTATGAAGGCAGTTCCTACCAGTATTGGTAGTACTTGTCAATGACTGTTCTTCAGACATACTCTGATGTCACTTTCTATCAGCCTCAGAGGTATGTTGTGTCAATAGTTTTCTTCAGATACATTCTGTCAACAACACCAGCTTCTTCAGGCTTCAGAGGTACATTGTGGCAACAGTTGGTCTTCCGACATATTCTGTCGACAATTTCGGCTTCAGAATGTCAACAAAAACGTGAAGTCATTACCCGGTACCCACAGCCACTGTTTGTGAGCTGGGCTGGGCTGTGGGCCGCATTTTGCGCCATGGCAGCATCGGCTGTAATTTGGTGGGCTGTGGCTCCGGAGTGGTGGCAGGGCCTGTGTCCCACTTGGGGGAAGCTGAGTGTTGCTTTGTCGGCGCCAGGCCCACGGTGTCATTTCTCTGTGTGTGTCACGGGACCCCCTGGTGATCAGTGTGCGTCATAGTGACCGGTTGGACAGTGGGAAGGACACTTAGCATATTAGCCTTTTATATATATATATAGGCTCTCGTATGAATTTCCATCCTGCCACTCCAAGAGAGTAACATGCACACTGATGTGCCTCAACCCAAACAGATCAAGCAGATGCCCTCGGATTTAATTTAGAGAAAATGGAACAGGGAAGTAGGGAATGGGTGAAAAGACAATAATCAGAGCAAAGGTTCTTAAGGTTTTGGTGTCACAAGATCCCTTTGAAAAATGGATTAAAACTGTGGACTCTCTTCTCAGAAAAGCACACATACAGACAAAATTTTTAATAAATAATCCAGTTACCAAAGTCTTTCCATGGATCCTAGATTAGGAACCATGGATCTAGAGTCAGATTTCTATTCAATATAAGGAAGAACTCCAAACAGAGCTACTTCTGGGAGCAGCTAATTCTTTGTCCCTGGAAGGGTTCAAACAAAAACCGAGATGAGAAACTGGCAGAATACATTATAAAAGGGATTAAAATACTGAAGGGACTGGCTTCCCAACCTTAAGATTTCATGATTCTAATATGGGCTCAATCGACTCTATCACTGAACACTCCCTGGTGCTGAACCCTCAATTCAGTGCTGTGGTGAGATATTAAAGCTACAGAAAACATGGAACCTGCCTCTAAAGACCACTGTAGGAATATACAAAATATGCTTAAATTTACAAGCAAAAGATAGCTTTACAGGTTACAGAACTTTCACTTCCTTTATCCAATTAGATCTTCACAACAAAAAGGCGTTGAAAAGTTAACGTACGTTACGTGCTAATAATAAGATGCATCAATTGAATGTTTGACTTCCAGATACCTTCAATCAACTGGCAAGTAATTTTTTGAGCCCCCACATTAAGCTCAATGAGTCAGACAGGATCACTGTCACACACACCAACTCATTTAACCAACCCTACAGACTGTTTATTTTTGCCTCCAGTTGATAGTTGAGGAAGTTCAGGCTCAGAGAGTTTTAGTAACTAACTCAAGGTCACACAGTTAAATGAGAGGCCGAGATCAGACTTAACCCAGGATCATCGTTTTTTTGCACTATGCCCTGTTAGTTGCCCATGGCAACTCCAGCGTTTGTTGACTCTCCAAATTGATGACTCATGGCTTTCCACCCTTAAAGATTTTTTTCTAGTTGTTCTGCTTGCATTACAGAAATTGATCATCATGCAACATTTCTAAAACTATTCCTAGCATTTATATTTGGGCTGTGCTCTTGAGAATGGGCATCACTGCCTGAACTCAAACCTGTGCTCTTCTCCACTGCACGTGAATGCCGAAGCCACCACAGCTGAAAAACCACAGCTTTCCTAGCTCCTTTCCACAATGTCAGCTTTCACCACGGGGCTAATCTCGACTCCGCAGGGACTGCAGGTGACACCGACGATGACAGCAAGAATAAGGTTCACACTTCCTTTAACCGCCCACAAGCCCCTTCCCTTAATCCTCAGACCCACCTGCTGAGTCAGTGGGGCAGACGCCATAATCCTCAAGTAAACAACACCGAGGAAGAGAAGGAGAAAGTGATCTTGCCCGCCAGGAGAAAAACCAAGCAACTGATGCTGAGCGCAGCAAAATGTTATTTGCTCTTGACCAAACAGAGCAGGGGTCCTGGGCTCAGCACTACCGAAACGCCTTGCCAAACACCAAACCAATGTCATTTAGGCGAAATAATTCGGTTAAATGGAAGGCTGGCTACCGCTGAGCCTGAGTCCTGACCTCTTTGTTTAAAAGAGAAACATGCACAACTGTGAGGAGTTGGGACATGTCAGGAAGGGGTCAGGGCACACCAGCACTAGGCTTCCGGAGGGTGAGGAGAACAAACTAAAGAAAACGTCAAGGAGCCCACCTGCTTCGCTCGGTGACTAAGTAAATGCTTTCCGACGCACGTTCTGCCCCAAATCATGTCCAGTGTCACCTCGGAAATTCTCAACCGAGGTCCGGGGAGAGTTCACATCGAGCTCAGCAAGTCGTGAGCCCGCCGAAAGGGTTAACAGCCGCGGTCGCTGTCACTGTTTGGACTAACCGTTCTTTCTCGAGGTCACTGTGATTGCTGTGGCCGAACTGCCGAACACCCGGTTCCTTAAGGCCGCCAACCTCGGCTCAGAAAAAGGACCGAGGCCTGTCCGCGGGAAACTGAGGCCCAGAGCCACGCGGGCGGCCGGTGGGCAAGTGGCAGAGCAAAAGCGGGCACCCTGGCCCACGCCGGCCGCTCGCGCCGGGTCCTCTCGCGGCGGGGCTGGCCTCCCGCGGACACCCGGGCGCCCCCAAGCTGCCCACCGCGCTCACCTTCATAACTTCCAGGCCCGGAGGCCACCGAGGCTCGACCAAGGAGTCCATGGCCTCCCCAAAGGATGCAGGGGGCTCCGCTGCCCACTGGCCTCCCGCGCTGCACTGCCACTCGAAATTCCCCGCGCTACCGCGCTACGACAGCAGTCCGCGACGCGCCGGCGGCGTGCGCGGAGCCTGCCGGGAGTTGTAGTACGTGGGCGGAGCGCAGCCCAGATGCTATTACTGCGCATGCGTCAGATTCACCTTTCCAGCCGAAAGTAAATTGGTTAATGGGCCCGCATCGTATTTGTATTTTGACCCTGAATAAATGCCTGTTGAATGTTGGGGAAAGACAGCCGGGAGTCAAACCAAATCCAGACTTCACCAAATCTTTCAAGGTCTAGGCTAGGGGCTAATGCTTTCTCCTTCAGGTTGCCTTCCCCGATTGCTATAACTGCTGTGAGCAAAGGTTTTCATATCTACTATTTCATCTAACCCCATCACAGTACTGCGAGGTAAGCATTATCATTGCCAGCGTACACGAAAGGAAGCTTCCGCTTAAAAACTTGAATAGCGTTTTCTTTTTTTGTTGTTTTTTCAGGATTGAATAGTGTGTTCTTGAGTCACTCAGTGTCATTGTCCAGATTATACAATCAGGACCTCTTTGAATGGGTGCTTTTTATAAAATTAAAATTTTAGTTTTAAGCTGTTCCTTTTCTTAACCACCTTAACATTGTATAACTTTCCAGATAATTCCTATGCTGATACATAGATAAGGTTTTTCCACAAATCCTATATAATAAAAGCCTAATATGCAAATGGACCAAACTGTGGAACAACCTGTCACTATGACATGAACTGACCAACAGGGCGCAGACACTTAATGCAGGAGCTGCCCCAGCCTGCAGGGCCCAGGCCAGCCAAGGTGGGTGCCAGTGCCCCCCTCCCCCCACCCCACCCCCTCCACTCCATCGCCCTACTGGTTGCCCCACAGATCGGCCCTGATCGCCAGCCAGGCCTAGGGACCCTACCCATGCATGAATTTCAGGCCTCTAGTGTTATTATAAATGCAGCTCTGTCAACTTGAGTTTTTCTATATGTTTAGTTAACTATACATCTTGAGACCTCTGGATGTTAATACATATAGCTTTACCTCATTCTTTTTAATAGCTATGTAGTCCATTATCTAGATACACCACAATTTATTTATCTACTCCAATACTGAGGGACATTTAGGTTGTTTCCAATTTTTCACTATTGCCAAGAGTTGCAATGAACACACTATAAATCTTGGCACATTTGAGCCTGGATATCTGGTGGATGACTTCCAACAAATGAAACTATTGGGTTAATTTCTTTAAACTTTTAAACTGTGCTGTGTGATTTTCCAAAAAGGCTGTACCAATACATTTATACTCTCACTAAGTGAGTATAAGAATACCTATTGTCCAAAACTCACCAGTACACCACCCAGCCTCTCTGCTCAACTCAGCTCTCATCCATTGCCCTAAGTGGACCATTGTCAGGTCTCCTGGGTGGCAAGTCAACAGTTATGTTGCTCAGGGTAGCTTGCCACTGCCACCCCTCCTGATCCATGCATGCATTCATTCATTCAGATATTTTTCTAAGTGCTTACCATTGGCACTCAGGCTTCCCTGTGAAGTAGGCAGAGGTGAGGTTGTTATTGCCATTTTATAGACACAGATCCTGAGGCTCAAAGAGGTTACGACTTCAGTCCTTTGGCCTCTCTTCTTAAGGAAACTCTGGCCCCAGAGCCAGAGTTGTACTCCACTGATTTTTCCCAAATACTCACTGGGCAATAATAATAATAATAATAATAGCAGCAGTTGGACAAAGGACTTTAATATATATTATAATAAATAACTGACATTTATTAGGCACTTGTATGCAAAGCATTGTTCTAGGTATTTTTACACATGTTGACTTATTTCAGACTCCAACCAAATGAGAAAAGGGAAGTAACAGGAAAGTTGCTTAGAGCACTCTGCCGGTAAGTGAAAGAGGAAGGATTTGAACTTGGGCAGTGTGGGCTTAAGAGTCCATATTAACCACTGCAGAATATTTTCATAAGGCCCTCATTATGAGAACTAGTTCCATTTTATAGACATGGAAATTGAGTCTCAGAGAGGTGAAGGAACTCATTCAAGATTACGCCGATTGCCAGTGGCAATTTCTAGCCTTGAACCTAGGTCTTTTAACCCCAAACCAGACGGGATCACCCACTGACACTTTACGGAGGAATAATTGAGCAGACAGGGCAGCAGAGCAGAGGTTTGAGGATCTCAGGATGCTGGACCTAGTGGGGCTACAACAGGAAGGTGGAAATAGCAGGGAAAGGGGGAGGAGGCAGTGGGTTTGGATCAGCCAATCAGAAAAGGGTGTGCAAATAAACTCCAGGCTGAGTTAAATGGCTTTGCCTACCTAGATCTGAATGCTGGGCTTGGAGAGACAAAGGAATTGAGACAAAGACCAGGTGCCCCACCTGAGTGCACCAGTAATTGTTCCTTTATGGTACTAGTTGGTTACAAAGTAATTAGGTTTGTAATTAGATGACAAAGAGCTGGGATGTGAGGGAAGAGGAGATGAGAAAAGAAAAAATATAAATGGGAAAGGAAGGAGAGAAAAGAAGGGAAAGAAATACATTCTCTTTTTAAAAATATATTTTATTGATTTTTTTACAGAGAGGAAGGGAGAGAGATAGTTAGAAACATCAATCAGCTGCCTCCTGCACACCTCCTACTGGGGATGTGCCCGCAACCAAGGTACATGCCCTTGACCGGAATTGAACTTGAGACCTTTCAGTCCGCAGCCCAATTCTCTATCCACTGAGCTAAACCGGTTAGGCAAGAAATACATTCTTCCCGTTCAACCATGAAGACAGATTTGGGAGGCATCACTTGTGGGTCCTGGGGTCCAGATCCATCTCCCTGAGTCTGGAGGCCTCCAGGGCAGCACCCAATGCTATTCATCTCTAAGTTCCAGCCACCAGCTGCTCAGTGAGACTGAATGAAAGAGTGAGTGAATCACCGGAATAAGCCCACATTTCCATAAATCTTTCCCTCCCAGGCCGAGCAGTTCTGTTCCTGCTCTTGGCAACAGCACCCACTCAAGACCTGGGAAGAGAAGTCACAGGCACAAGCAGTTCTGAGGGCCCACCTTGAGTCAACAAGGCAGCTGTCTTGCCTTCCCGGGGCATTTATCCACCCCGGGAGCCAATCTCCTCTAACATGCTGCTGTTTCCACGGATATTCTCCTTCTGTAAATCAATAAAGAGACTGTACTTCCTTATTCAGGAGTAAAAACAAAATGTTCCACATAAAAAAGCAGGCTAGTGCTCAGAGGACTCTCCCATGGCACTCAGCACAAAGTGAGGACCCAGGATAGGGCTGCCGGATAAAGTACAGAATGCCAAGGAAATGTGAATTTCAGATAAATAGAAAGCAATTTTTTAATATAAGTACATCCCAAATATTGACCATGATATACATATATTTTTAAATATATTTTCATTGATTTCAGAGAGGAAGGGAGAGGGAGAGATAGAAACATCAATGATGAGAGAGAATCATTGATCAGCTGCCTCCCCCACTCTCCCCACTGGAATAGAGGCTGCAACCCAACCGGGAATCCAACGACCTGCTGGTTCATGGGTTGACACTCAACCACTGAGCCACACCAGCTGGGCTCAATCTCTCTTTCTTGATGTCTTGTATCTGTTTTCTTCAGTGCTGGCTTAATGCTCAAGCAGTCCCCCCCCCCCGCCCCCCCCGCCCCCCCCCCCCCCACACACATACACATGGAGGCAAACAGGGCCTCCAGCCAGAATGATCCAGGCCTACCCTCGTGGAAAAGAAAGCACCTCATTCCCAATAGAACCCAGCAAAAGTGCCAGGGCTGAATCTCATTGGCCAGAGTTGGGTCACATGTCCCATCTTTGAACTAATCACTGTGCCACAGATTGTCTAGGCCTCAGTGTGTGGGTAGGGGCGGATGCCCAAATGAGCAGTGGAGGGCTGTATATAGTAAGAGAGGGAATAAATGCCCATAAACATGCAGATTGCAAAAATAGTTGCAAATTATTCCCCTGCCTGTACCCACACCTCTCTATGATCTGAGTCCTTCCATCAAGAGGTGGACTTATTTTTCAATCCTTCTGTCTGAATCTGGACTTTGCTGTCTTGCTTTGGTCAATGTGACATTAACAAAGGTGATGCAAATAGGGCTGAAAAGTGCCCGAACACTGGCACTTACCCCTGCTCTTGCTGCTCCTGGGAACCTTCTAACCAGCACCATGTGAACAAACCCTAACAATCCTCGTGGATGATGAGAGACAGTTGGCCAAGTCACCTTTATCACCCAGCTGACACTGAGCCACCTACAAGGCATGTGAGTGAGGCCATCCTAGACCACCCACTTCCTTACCACAGAGAGCAGCTCAGCCCGTCCTGACCAGAAAATGGCTCAACACACTCACAGGACACGGTCAGTGTTGAGTATCTTAAGCCACCAGATTTGGGGGTGTTTTGTTATACAGCAATAGGTAACTGCGACAGTGATCTAAAACCACAGTGACCCTCCACCTGAGCCTTCTGCTTGCCTGGGGCTGGCTTGGGAGCCCCCAGATACAGACTTGCTGGAGCCTCAGCCCTGATTGCCCCTCCCCTCCCCGCCCCGCCCATAGCAATCTTTACCTGCTCACTTTGATCCCAATTCCTGTCTCTACTTAGGAGTGCCAGGGGCAGGGCAATCCTTCTCGTGAAAAGCAAGTCCTGTGCGATTCTCCTTGTCTCTGTAGGCTCCAGGCATTTCTCCGTACAAGGAGGCAGCCATCTACCCGGAACCAAGTGAAGGGCGTGCAGCTGAGTTCCTGTGCCAGGGAATCTCCACCATCTGTCATGGTGTCTGGACACCGCTTCCCCGTTCTTTGGCTCTTCAAGGCTATTTAGATCCCCAGGGCCCTGTGCGAGGGTTGAATGTTCCTCTGGGGTTGCTAAAGCAGGTTGCACCTGTTACCTTACAGCACAAACACACTTGCTGTATGCAATTACTTAGTCTCCCCCCTA